GGCACCATGCAGCAATGGGGCATCCCCAGCAGCTGCTGAAGCTGGGATGGTGCCAGGACTCGGGGGGCTGCAGGGAGCAGGGGGAGCATTTCAGGGTGTGGCAAGGAGGGTCAGCCCCGCAGAGGATGCTCGGCCCATTTCCACGTATTCAGCACTTTCTTCCCCTCCCGTTTTCTCTCGGCACTGGCAGGAAGCTGCGCAGGGGTCCATCTCCACTGCCGCTGGCGTGTGGGGGCCCCAATTAGGTGCCAGATACCAAAGGACCTCAGTTCCAGGGACCACAGGGTGGCTGGTAAAGCCCCTCTCCCTCAGCCTCCCCTGCAGCACCCAGCCGTCGCCCTCCCGCAGACACGGCACCCACAGCGGTGGCTGGCAGCAGCACCCGAGGGAGGGAGCGAAGCCTCCCTTAACTAACCCAGCCCACAGAGAGGGGGCTTTGGCTCACTTCGGCTTTTCTGTTCCTTCCCATAGCTCTTCCTTGCCCTTACTCCGGTGATTTCCAGCTCGGGAAGCCATGGCACCCAAAGGAAAGGTAAGGGTGACCTACACATGGCCGGGATGGGTACTGAGGGTGCCGCAGGGCAGACCCCAGAGCCGGGGCAGCGTCTCCGTTGTGCAGCAAGGATGGTGGTGATGTGCATGGGCGCAATGCTGGCCAGAGCCTGTTTACATTCCTGCCTCTCCAGCCAGCGCTGTCTGGATGTGATGCAGATGGAGGAAGTGCTGGGGCAGGGAGCTGGGAGAGCAGGGAGAGCAAGGAGCTTTCGGGACCACAGCGGGATGGGGGGAGAGAAGCAGGGCTGTGGGAAGGGGAGGAGAAGAGTTACGTCGCACTGGGGATTCGGGCTTTTGCTGGAGAGAAATCCCGCCTGTGCCTGAGCCCACTGCAAGGCGTGCACCCCCGCTTTGGCCTCTCCACCCTAGCCTGGATTTCTCCCCTCTCCGAGCTGGGGCTGGTGCAATGTGGCAGCTGGGTGAGCAGCTGCTCCCTTGCAGCCAGGAAAACATCTTGGCATGGGTAGAAAACCCTGCCTCGGTGGGCAGCTGTGGCTGGCGGGGTACAGCCTGCCTGCGGCGATGTGCTAGGCAGGGGAGGCGTCCAAGTCCACAGCCTCCCTTCTCCACCGCTCAGGGCCGGGCTCTGCTTTCCATTCTCTTGAGAAACCAAGTAATCATTGCCTCAAACCCAATTACCTTCAGCTTCCTGCCCAGCCGAGGGGGTGGTTGCCTCTGGGTGGGGAAACTGAGGCACAGCACGGGTGAGCATCACCCCTGCGGTGGTCCAGGACCCCGAGCAGCCATGCAGTGGGAGAGAGCAAAGCCACGCTGGGAATTTTGCTTCTACCCTCCCGGCCCCAGCCTGGCTTATTTTTAGCCGGGAGGTCCCGGATAGGCCGGGATGACTCAGAGGCTGGATAAGGGGGGGCGCGAAGTGGGGGATGGAAAGGGGGATGGAGGTGTGAGGAGGGCACAGCTGGCAGGATGCTGTTTCCCTCCCGAGTGATGTTTCTTGCACCTCCCTGGGGCTTGTTCCCACAAGAGTGCAGGGAGCATGGGGCGATGCACAGCGCTGAGCTCCTGCCTCGGTTTACCTCGCCCCTGCCATGGCAGCGCTGCGGCAAGGCAGGCAGCTCGTGCTTCAGTGGCTCAGCAGGCAGGAACACAGCCCTGCTCCTCCTCCCCATTTAACCAGGGCCAACATCTTGTCTCCCCGGCACCACCCGTGCAACCCCAGCACCTTCCAGCCACCTTCATCCCCTCCTGCTGCCTCTGGGCACCTCCTTTGCCCTGCAACTCCTCCTTTATCTCTCTGCAAGGCACATGTGTGGGCAGCAGCTTGCACCAAGCCAGGAGGGTCTGGAAGCTGCTGGGAAACGGGGCTAAATCCAGCTCTCCAGATGAATGACCTGCAATATGATCTGTCCCTGCGCCCGCCCAGCTCCCTCGAAGGGCAGCGTCTCCTCTTGCCACCTGGTACTCACCAGTGGGACACCAGTGCCAGCAGCTCCTCCCCCCGAGAGGGCCTGTGGGATGTGCCCAGCCTGGACTGGTTTCTCTCTGGAAAATGAGGGTACAGAGGCCAGCTGTGTGAGATGCACAGTGGAGCTGTTGCGCTGCAGCGCTGGGATGGGGCCCAGGGAAGTGATGGGTATGGGGTTGCCCCGTGTCCATGCCCTTGGGTTCATTCCTGGAGGCACTTGCTGGCTCAGGGATGCTGGCACTGGTGCCGCCTGCCTGATGCCCATCTTTTCTGGAGACACGTTGGCTTTAGATGCCCACACTGGCAACAGCCCTGGGCATTTGGTTAGAACATGGTGCTAATAACACCAAGTTCACAGGTTCAATCCCTGCTTACTGCAGGGGGGTTGGGCTCGATGATCTCTCAAGGTCCCTTCCAACCTAAAGCATTCTATGATTCTATGATTTTAAACAAGCCCTGCAGCAGATCCTGAGCAAGTAAGCCCTGGGAGGTGTACGCACCCATGTACAAGCAGAGCCACGGGAGAATGCGCAGCCTTTCCCAGGGTGCTGACACAGCTGAGGCCCCCGGCTCAGCCTGGCTCCCAGCGCTCCTGCTACCCAGAGACTGCTAAGGAAATGCTGCTGTTCAGCTTTTCCTACTCTCTGACGCCAGTAAGGACATGTCCCAGTTCCTCACATGGGGCTGGGCTGGTTTCACATCTGCTTCCACCCAGGTTCTGTGCTGATCTCATTCAGAATCTGGCCCCAGGCTACCCGGGGGTAAATTCCCCAGGGCAAAGCTGACCTGGGGAGGGGAAGCCCGGTCCCTGCTTTTTTCTGAGGTCTCTGTTCGGGGGTGTTGCTCCTGGGCTCCCCATTGTGCAGCCTGGAGGTGCAGAGGAGCAGACATAAGTGGATCATGCCAACCTCCAGGATTTCTCAGGCTCCCGGGAAAGTCTTTCCCCGTATCCAGGATCTCTGCTCCAACCACTGGGACCAGCCTGGGCCCTATGGGCATGCACAGTGGGGCAGGACAAGCTGTTGGCAGCTCTGGCACTTCTCAGTGCTTTCTGCTTAGCAGCCCACGATGATTTGGTGCCTGTAAATGTGTCTCCTTGCTTGGACGCCATGCAGAGCTTGGCATCCTCAGCATCCGGAGGGTTTCCCTGCTCGCAACAGGCGGTATGAAAATTACTTCCTTCATTGCTCCCAATCCACTCCCATAAATCCCCTCAGCCCGGCTGTGTTGCAGAGGGATCGCCCTGGTCCTTCCATGCCTTCCCCTGTGTTCAGGGTGTCCAGCTCTACTGTGGGGTGTCCCCTTTTCCTGCTGGAGTCCCCCAGATGGAGCTGAGAACCCAAATGTGCTCAAGAAACCTCTCTTCAAACCACCAATTCTTGCTGGCACGGCGGGGAGGGTTGTATACAGCTTAAACATGGGGCACAAGCAGCAGTGATGCCAGTGAGATACGAGAGGGAAGGCTGTGTTCTCCAGTGACCTGGCGCATAAACAATTTGTACAGCAGGGAAAGCAAATGGGAAAGGAAAAAACTGAGAAGAAGAAGTGTTTATGTTTGAGGCTGATCTTTGCCTTTGGCAGCCTGAGCAAGAGCAGGGCCAATAACCCCAATCCTGCTGAGCTTCAACTTCTTCCCCCATTCCACCCAGGGCTACTCCTTCCCCTTTCACCTTCTCACCTCCTTTCCCCTAGGTCTACAGGGGGTCGGTGAAGGATTTCCCAGGCTTTGATGCCAGCCAGGATGCAGAGGCCTTGCACAATGCCATGAAGGGATTTGGTATGGACGCTCCTCCAGACTGTCACCCTGGGGCCACCCTGATGTCCTCTATTCCTTCGGTTGACCCTTGCATGGCTAGGCACCCTGCATTGCCTCCCCTTTCAGCTGCCCGTCTGCTTTAGCAGCGTGCCAGGACCTCTCCTAGCTCCCGTTTCCTCCCTGGAGCCAGCTTGGCTCTGCTTCTCCTCCCAGCCCCGAGCTGGAAGCAGCTTTGGGCACGGCAGGATGGGTGTGATGAGCCCAGCCACGGGGCTAACTGTGACTCCCTGCTCTCCCCGCAGGCAGTGACAAGGAGGCCATCCTTGACCTCATCACGTCCAGAAGCAACAAGCAGCGAGTGGAGATCTGCCAAGCCTACAAGTCCCTCTACGGGAAGGTAATGGCAGAAACGCTCCCTGGTCCGTGTCCCCGCTGCAGACGCAGGTGGCCGTGGCTGCCACCGACAAGCCCACGCAGGGACCCACCGCTCCCTGGACCCACTCAGAGATGCTGTGGAGCAAAGGGTCCCCCAGCCCCTTTCTCCCCCTCCACCAGGACCTCATTGCAGACCTCAAGTATGAGCTGACGGGGAAGTTTGAGCGGCTGATCGTCAGCCTGATGCGGCCCCCAGCTTACAGCGATGCCAAAGAGATCAAAGATGCCATCGCGGTAAGGGGGTGGGCAGCCCCCCCGGAGCCCCTCCAAGGACACCCCATCTAGCCCTGCTGCTCATGGGGCTGCATCTCTGCCTGCAGGGCATCGGCACCGATGAGAAGTGCCTCATTGAGATCCTCGCCTCCCGCACCAACCAGGAGATCCATGACCTGGCGGCCGCCTACAAAGACGGTGAGGGCTGGGGAAGGGTAGGGGCTGCCCTGTGTCCCCTCAGGCCAGGACAAAGGACAGATATGAGGGGATCCAGCTCTCCAGGCCCTGACCTCTCCCTCTTCCACCAGCCTACAACAGAGACTTGGAGGCTGACGTCGTTGGAGACACGTCGGGCCACTTCAAGAAGATGCTCGTCGTTCTGCTTCAGGTATGTCTATCTGCCCAGCGTCTGTAGGCGGTGGGGTAGCAGGGCTGAGCCCATCTCTGTCCCACAGGGCACCAGGGACGAGGATGACGTGGTGAGCGAGGACCTGGTGGAGCAGGATGCCAGGGTGAGGCTTGGCATGTTGCTGGGATGGGTGGCATCTGGGCAGGGATGGGGCTGGTGGCACTGGGACCGTCCGGACTTAGGCCTGCGAAAGGCAGATGGGCGCCAAGGGCGCCCGTGCTTGGGCAGAGCCCCATGTGAGCAGCACCCTGACTCGGGTTGTGCCACCTTCCCCATCCCACAAGGACCTGATGGAAGCTGGTGAGCTGAAATGGGGCACGGACGAAGCCCAGTTCATCTACATCCTTGGCCGGCGAAGCAAGCAGCACCTCCGCCTGGGTGAGCATCTCCTGCGAGCTCAGGGTTGGGCCTGAAGGTATCTTGACAGCTTCTTCAGGCATCATGTCGCTCTTGTCCCACAGTCTTTGATGAGTACCTGAAGATTTCTGGGAAGCCGATCGAGAGGAGCATCCGGGCAGAGCTCTCTGGTGACTTTGAGAAGCTGATGCTGGCCGTGGGTAAGTCAGCTCCTGTGTGGGGGGTGCCGCAAAAACACGCCGCTGGCCTTGCCGGGGTGGGAGGGCTCAGCGCAAGAGCCAGCAGGGTCGGGGTTGTGGCTGTGCCTGGGTTTAGGTTGCTCAGGGAGGCTCCTTCAGGGCAGGTGGGGATGCTGAATGTGGTGCTTGAGGGGCATGGGCGCTCAGAGGCTGGGGTGCTGGCAAAGCTGGGCACCGGCATCCCTCACCATGCCTCTATTTTCCTGCAGTTAAGTGCATCAGAAGCACCTCAGAGTATTTTGCTGAAAGGCTCTACAAGGCCATGAAGGTGAGTGGATCACCCCTTCTTCAGGGGGTCCTCTGCAGCACTGCAGGGAGCAGGCCAGAGGAGAGGCCCCTTGCCACAGGGTGCTGCTGGAGGGCAAGGTGACGAAGGTCCATGAAGACAGGACCTATGTGACCTGGGGCCTCTGCTCTTCCCTCCAAAGGAGTTATTCCTTCAGGCCCAGGGCTGGGTAGAAATCTGATCGAGGGTCCCAAATGCGATGCACTGAGTGGGGTTGCTTGGCCATCCCAGGCTTGATGTAGGGGCTTCTCCATTGCAGGGGCTGGGCACGAGAGACAACACGCTGATCCGCATCATGGTGTCCCGCAGCGAGATCGACATGCTGGACATCCGGGAGATATTCAGGACCAAGTATGAGAAATCTCTCCACAACATGATCAAGGTAAGTGCTGGGAGTCCCTGGTCACCCTCCGAGCAGCTGCTAGTGCTGCCCCCTCCCCAGCCACCCTGTGCCGGGTGTCCATCTCCGAGGACAAGGCTCGGGGAGACCTCTCTCCATGCACCCATCCCACGGCACTACCCTGACCCTCCCTGCCACATGGTTCTCCATCTCCATCTGTCTTTCCAGGAGGACACCTCTGGGGAGTACAAGGAGGCCCTGCTGAAGCTGTGTGGAGGGGACGATGAGTAAGACCGCCTGTCACCCCGTTTGTCCCTCTTCATCCCCTTGGTGCTGGGTACAAACCTCCAGGTCAGAGCCTGGTGGAGCACCTGGACCAGCAGCACCTGCAGTGACAGCGGTTCGGTACGGGGGGCCCTGCGGCCCCTCTGCATGGCCAACCACGATGCCATGGGCCCTACTTGGCACGTGGCCGCCCTGCAAGGCACAAACACCCGGAGGGAGGATGCTCCGGTGGGGGTGGTTGGGATTTACCACCCGCTTCCCCCCATTCCCACCCAGCCCCACAGCAAGCACCCGCCTCCTGCCT